ATGAACCGCAGCACGCCAGGGCTCTCTGTTCATCACCAACTCCCAGAGTTTACACAAACTCATGTCCATTGAGTCGGTGATGCCGTCTAACCATCTCATCCTGTCATCCCCCTCTCCTCCTGCCGTCAATCTTTCCCAACATCAGGATCTTTTCAGATGAGTCAGCTCTTTGCATCAGGTGGCCAAAGTATTGGAGTTTAAGCTTCAGCATCAGTCCTTCCAATGAACACCCAGGACTGATCTCCTTTAGGATGGAATGGTTGGATCTCCTTGCTGCCCAAGGGACTCTCAAGAGTCTTCTCCAACACCACACTTCAAAAGCACCAATTCTTCAGTGCTCAGCTTTCTTTATAGTCCAGCTCTCACATCCATACATTACCATTGGAAAAAGCATAGCCTTGACTAGACGGACCTTTGTTGGCAAACTAATGTCTCTGCTTTTTAATATGCTGTCTAGGTTGGTCATAACTTTCCTTCCAAGGAGTAAACGTCTTTTAATTTCATGGCTGCAGTCACCATCTGCAGTGATTTTGGAGTCCAAAAAAATAAAATCAGCCACTATTTCCGCTGTTTCCCCATCTATTTTCCATGAAGTGATGGGACCAGATGCCATGATCTTAGTTTTCTGAATGTTTAGCTTTAAGCCAACTTTTTCACTCTCCTCTTTCACTTTCATCAAGAGGCTCTTTAGTTCTTCTTTGCTTTCTGCCATAAGGATGGTGTCATCTGCATATCTGAGGTTATTGGTATTTCTTCCGGCAATCTTGATTCCAGTTTGTGCTTCATCCAGCCCAGCGTTTCTCATAATGTACTCTGCATATAAGTTAAATAAATAGGGTGACAATATACAGCCTTGACGTACTCCTTTCCCAATTTGGAACCAGTCTGGTGTTCCATGTCCAATTCTAACTGTTGCTTCCTGACCTGCGTACAGGTTTCTCAAGAGGCAGGTCAGGTGGTCTGGTATTCCTATCTCTTTCAGAATTTTCCACAGTTTATTGTGATCCACACAGTCAAATGCTTTGGCATAGTTAATAAAGCAGAAATAGATGCTTTTCTGGAACTCTCTTGCTTTTTCGATGATCCAGCAGATGTTGGCAGTTTGATCTCTGGTTCCTCTGCCTTTTCTAAAGCCAGCATAAACCTCAAAGACAACTGAATCTTATCATTATTGAATTCTGCTCTTTGGATCTTAGACTGGTAATGCTCAACCAGTATGAGGTCTGTAACTCTAATGCTCTGGATTTACTTTTATAACATTCATCTTCAAAATGTATAAGGGAATGCACACATGTATACATTTTTAAATATAATAAGTTAAGACCAAAAAATAAATATAAAAAGCAGTAGCCAAATGAAAACTGGGTACCTGGTCTGTATTTCAGTTCAGAAGTGTAACTATCATTTAGGTCATGCTTTTGGAGGCAGCTGTAGTCCTCTTCATTTCACTCCAAGATGTCTTTCTCCCGTAAGTTTTCTAACTCCCATTAGGGACTGCATCTTCCAGAAGACAGATATCAAGAGACTAGAATACAAGCTGCAATTGAAACAGAAAGTAAGGTGAGAATGTTTTGAGATGTAGGTGGAGAAGGATGAGTTCATGAAGGATTGCAAAGAAAGAAAAAGTGTATCAGAGTTGTTCCTTGGTGACCTTGTGGTTAGGATTCCAGGCTTTCATGGTCACTGCCGTGGCCCAGGTTCAATCCCTCTTCAGGGAACTGAGATCCCACAAGCTGCACAGCACTTAAGAATTACAAGTATTCTTGGAACAAGAGCAGTAATCAAAATTATAATCTGAGACTAATATACAACACTGAAAATAAAGACCTTGAGTATTCCAGTCAAAAAGGCCAAGCATTTTTAGTTAAAATAGATGAAAATAAACACGTGACTATTAATAGGTACACCCTGACTGTGGTTATTACTTAAAATGCTAATGAAACAAAACACTATATGCTTCCACAAAAAAATAAAATACATGCACAATAGAAAAAAAAGTAATACAAAAAAAGTAATACATCTTGCAGCGTTACCTTTCCTATGTTAAGTACAAAGTTCAGTAATGTGTGAGACATTTACCCTTCTTGAAGAAACAACCAAGTCAAATAATACTTAGCCAACCAGGAGTTAAAAATGCATGCATAGAAGAGTCATAAGATGAAATGACTGGTATTTGTTATCCATTTCTAGATATGTAACCTAAATTTGAACAAAAATGGAAGCATAAAAATGTTTAGCAGAAAATTATTATATAAAATAAGGAGACTCAGCAATCTTGCTTATGAGTATTTACCCAAGAGAACTGAAGTTGTGTTCACACAAAACCTGTGTGTGAATGTTTACAACATTTGTGTTTACAATTGCTAAAAGCTGGAAACAACTCAAATATCCAGCTGGTGAATAGGTAAATTGTGTGATACAGACAGTGGAATACTGTTCAGCAGTTAAGGAGTGAACTACGGGTATGCACATCAACATGGATGGATATAGTCAAAAGACTATATGCTATGTGATTCCATTTACAGGATAAGGTAAAGTTAATAGGAGCAGAAAACAAGTCAATGGCTCAGGGGCTGAGGGTGGAGAGAAGTTGGCTACAGGGGGGCAACCTGAGGGCATTTATGGGATGATGGATCTGTTCCACATGTTGACTGTGGCAGTGCTTACACAGCTGTATGGGTTTGTTAAATCTCATGGAATTGTGAACCCCCCCAAAAGTGAATTTTACTATACATAAATTTTAAAAGTAGGGAAAAACAAGAGACAGCGCAAGTGCCTACAAAAGTTAATGTGTGTGTGTGTGTGTGTGTGTGTGTGTTGTGTGTGTTAGTTGCTCAGTCATGCCTGACTCTCTGTGATCCTATGGACTGTAACCTGCCAGTCTCCTCTGTCCATGGGATTCTTCAGGCAAGAATAGTGGAGTGAGTTGCCATTTCCTACTTCAGGGGATCTTCCCCACCCAGGGATGGAACCCAGGTCTTCTACATTGCAGGCAAATTCTTTATGGTCTGAGCCACCGGGGAAGCCCAGTGTCTGTACAACAGTGTGAATATACTTACAGTTTTGCATAGTATACTTAAAATTGGTTAGGATCGTAAATTTTATGTGATGTGTATTTTACCACAGTTTAAAAAAATTCAAATGCAAAACTGTAAGACAAGTAATATATTTATAATGGCTTATTATGTAGTCATTAAATAATTTTTCCAAGGAATTATTAATAAAGTAGGAATATGGTTATAATATTAAACTGAATACACAGTTGAGTTGGCTATAAAGAAATCTGTAAATAAATTATGGCAGAAACACTAGAAGATGAAATGCTAAAATATTAAGGGTAAAGGTCTTGATGATGGGATTTTTTTCATGATATATTTTCCTCCTTTATACTTCTTGGCACATTATTAGTTTTCACTTATTCTTTTTATAGTTGATAAAAATAGAATCGTCAGAAAGGGTATGAAGTGAGTTATATATTGCTGACATAGACTGGTTCAGTCATTTTATATAGGCTCATATTTAAATCACACCAGCAAAAAAAAAAAAAAAAACGATCTCTTTGGATTTAATTTGTAGCAGTTCTGTTCTTCCCAGATTAACTATTCTAAAACAAATGACATAGTGACAATTGACTTTTAATTCAAGATTGTGAGTTAAGCCTGTGTTTAGCTTTTCTGGCTCCAAATTTGCCATTGAATTGACCAGGGGAACGTAAGGGGTAGAAACATAACTCCATGGAAAAGTTGGAAAAGTTGACAGGTGAGTTATCTTAAGGAGTTAATGTATATAGAAAATACAGAGCAGCAAGCCCTGCACTGAGGAAGGGACCTGCCAGATGGAATTCCAGACATCCAGAAGGAAAGTCTGCCTGGAAGATGAGTGCAGGGTCCCAGAGCAAGTGGCTGGAGGGGAGGGGAGTGTGTGTGGTGGTCATCCTGGATTCTCAAACCTATGTGTATATGGGGATATGACTTCATACCCTACAGTATCAGTAGTCTAAGAAAGTTGCCCCAACACTATTTTGTAGCATTTGTTTAGTAAGACCAGTGGCTGAAGTAAAATATAAGCATTGCTCAAGCTAATTCCTGGCAGAAACAGTTGTATTTCTTTAGAGTATTTTAACAGTTAATGTGAATGTAGTGACATATGAAAATATGATTAAATATACCTGTTCAATGCATTAGGAAATTTTTTGTTTTTTAGGAATTATGCTTTAAAATTTTTTTTGCTTTTTAAACTTTATTGAAGTGTAGTTGATTTACAATGTAATTTCTGCCTTACAGCATGCTGACTCAGTTATGCATATTTAATTCTTTTTTATATTCTTTTCCATATGGTTTATCATAGATATTGAATATAATTCCCTGTGCTGTATAGTCCGACCTTGTTCTTTATCCATCCTATATATACTAGTTTGCATCTGCTAATCCCAAGCTCCCAGTCCACCCTTCCCAACTGCCCTACCTTGGCAAACATTAAGTCCATTCTCGTCGTCCATGAGTCAGTTTCTATTTCATAGATATGTTCATTTGTGTCATATTTTAGATTTCACATATAAGTCAGATGATGTTTTGTATAGAGGGCCCGGTTAACTTGGTGACCTCAGCAAGTAAGGAAGAGAAATTCTCCCACAGTGGGGTGCTACCACAGGGGGGTGCCAGTAGCTTTCCTTTCCTTTTCACAGGGGGAAAAAAAAACACATGCACACATTATACACACACACAAACTATAATACTATTAATTTCAGTGGTTATATGAACCCTAGGGCTAAAACTGTGCTTAAGTAATACTATTACATGAATTCAGCTAAAGAATTCACTATTGTGACACTTCTGTGAGACTTTTTGGCCTCCTGATTCCTAAAAGTTATTTCTTAGAATTTAAACTTTGAATCTTTGAGTCAGTGTTCATGAATAAAAGTTTTACAAGTGCCTTGTTTTCACTTTTTTCCCCCTGCTTGCAACTTCCATGAAATCCTTATTTTCTTTCCCCCCCACCAGGAATTGTGAAGGGCAGAATATTCGATACAAGACTTGCAGCAATCATGTAAGTTCTGTCATAAAAATATATAATCCCATAAAATATGTTCATGTTTTAAGTAATAATATTATGTATTGTAGAGCTAATGGCCTCTTGGTACTCTTTGTGGAAAATTTGAATATTTGTTTAATTGATGACAGATTTTGTGTATCTCATACCTTCCATTTATACTACCTTTTTTAAAAGGTCACCTTATGGTTTAATCTGGTAAACATTTAATAATTTCTGATTTCATAGAAACAATACATAATACTTATAAATGCCTTCCAAGTTCAAAGTGCTCTATGTATGGGATTTCACCTAACCCTCACAACCATCTCTGAGATGTTTGCATATGCGGTGTGGTTGGTTTTTTCAAATGAGGGGACTGGGGTTGAGGGAGGTGACATTATTTTCCAGAGACCATGTGGGAAGAGTACAGACTTGAACTTCTCTAGTGCTGTTTTTCGTGCTCCAAAACACCTGTTCTGCCCCCTGCAAAATGTATTAAGGAGTACTGAAGGTCATGACTCAAGAAAATCACACCTGGGGAAGGGTTTATAAACCTTACTCTCATCCTACAGTGATCAAAATGAACAAAAAGTAAAATTCCAATACAAATGCAAAATAAATATCAGAAAACACAAATCCTATTTTATACCCCAATTGAAATGACAGGAGTTCAAAGCAAATTCTGAAACCCTGGAGATCTAAGTCCATTTATTCTAAATATTTCACTTACTGGGGGACTGTGCTCTCTCCTCCTCCACTGTCCTGGGCTAGTGTGAGACTGCAGTCCTGAGTAAGCATTTCTGTTCTACGGACCAGAACTTCTCTTCCATGGGCAGCTCTGGACTTGGGGAGTGGAGAACACACAGTGTTAGCAAGACCTTTTGTCTGTGGAACTCAAGCCATATTTTCAGTCTGTTTTATTAAGTGACGAAGCAGAAATGTTTCTCTCTAAAATATGGGTGGGAAAAATTCTTATTTATTGGGCAGAGGATGAGATGGTTGGACAGCATCACCGATCCAATGGACATGAGTTTGAGCAAACTCCAGGAGATATTGAAGGACAGAGGAGATTGGTGTGCTTCAGTCCATGGGGTCACAAAGAGTCAGGCATGACTTAGCAACTGAACAACAACAACAAATTTTGGGGGCACTCAAAATACAATGACTTCCAGCCCTCAGGTCAGTATATTTGTGTCCACTCTGTCCTAAAAGGGATTTTGGGAGACAAAGCAGATAGGGTTCGTGTGTCCTTATGACAAGATGAGCTTGGAGAATCGAGTGACACACGTATGCTTAGGTACACAATTAAGTGAGCTGGAATCCAGGAGGGGAGGAGGAGGGAGAGAAGTAGGTACAGGCTGGCATTTAGATATAAGCAGAGTCTAGCATGTGGATGCATGAGCAGCCTGGGGGACTTATAAACATGACTTTTGGGTCTGCTGCCTTTTTCCTGGGTCCATTTTATTTTTTAATTGCTGCTGTAATGCGTTAAAACACACTTGCTTACAGCAACACAGATTTATAGTTCTGGAGGTTGGAGGTCTGATAACGGCCTCACTGGGCTAAAATTATTGTGTTGGCAGGTCTGTGTTCCTTCTGGAGTCTCCAGGGAAGGATCTATTTCTTTGTCTTTTCCAGCTTCTAGAGGCTGCCCTCATTCCTTGGCTTGTGGACCCCTTCTCCGTCTTCAAAGCCAGCAACACTACATCTCTCTGTCCATTTTTATGTAGTCACATTGGCCTTTGATGACAACTGAACAAGTTTCACCTACCCAGATAATCTAGGATAATCTCCCCCATCTCAGGGTCCTTAACAGTAGTCAAAGGATGCTTTGGACAAAGCCCCTTTTGCCATATAAGGTAGCCTAATCACAGGTCCTAAGGATTATGTTGTGACCATCTTTGGGGAAGGTGCATTATTCTGATGAACACCACGGAACAGCTTGTCTTCTCAGACAAATTGGTATGGCAAATTCCTTGCAGTCATTCCAGAATAAATTTCACAACAGTATACTGTCAAGCAGTACTCTGTGAAGCTATCTGGGGGATTCATTTTAAATGCCCAGATCAAGATGTTGCATTCTGAGATTTCATTCTAGGGTGTGTGTGTGAGAGACTGTTCTAACTAATTCCAAAAGACTGCTCTTTTCAGCACAAGGGTGATAAAGGTCTGGGATTATTGTGCCATACGATATAGAGATAAAATGTAATCTCTAAAATTGGTGCATATTGGTTGCAATGGTCAAACACAAACATTGGTTTGAGTGAAGGTCTGATGCCTTTGAGGCTCTGAGGGTCTTGAGAGTACCTTGGTCTCTAACTGATGCCCCCCTCAGAGGAATTTGCAGAAATCTTTACCATCTCTAGGCTGGTAAGAAGGAGATGCTTTGGAGGTGGGAGCTAGTGGAGAGGACAGCCAAGTAAATGTCACGCTCTTCTGTCTCTCAGAGTTGGGAGTCCTACGAGGATTGTTAGAGAGATTTCATTAGAATAGGACATTAATTTCTGCACTTGCCATTACAAATGCAGAGTTTCCAACAACATTCCTTACAGGGAAGAAGGGCACCCTATGGCAGATCTCTCATATCAGTAGTGTTCAGGGCACCCCTCCCTCTCCATGTACCAAGTATCTGCAGCCACGATACTCAAGCCCTGCTGCAGACCACATGGATAAATGCAGCCCTAGCTGCAGGGTTGATGATCTGTGAGAAGATCTGTTCCTTTTCAGAAGTGATTATAGAAACCTTGCAAGGGTGTCCGGTGCCATAAGTCTATGTGCATGCATGCATGCTGAATTGCTTCAGTCGTGTCCAACTCTTTTCTGACCCCGTGGACTGTTGCCTACCAGGCTCCTCTGTCCATGGGATTCTCCAGGCAAGAATACTGGAGTGGATGGCCATGCCCTCCTCCAGGGGATCTTCCTGACCCAGGGATCTAACCCATGTCTCTCATGTCTCCTGCTTGGGCTAGTGAGTTCTTTACCACTAGAACCACCTGGGAAGCCCCATAAGTGGATGTAACCAGAATGAACTCAGGGTATCAATATGGTCACATCTTGGTTTCTTTTTTTACATGTCATTACTTGAGATGCTTCCTGTTTCATTAATTAGGGATTTAGAATAACCTTGTTGAAATCTCCAAGGAGTCCAGAGAGCAGGAGTGGGGACTGTTCTGCAGCCCTCATCAAGTGGAGGGAGAACTGAGTTATGAGTCCTGCTGTTGCTTCTCAATGCTTCCAATGTCCTCACTGATATAGCCCACACTTGTTCAATAGTCAGTGGCTCCTCTGTCCCTGGGAATCGGGCACGTCACCCACTCCTCTGAAGGAAGCTGCCTTCAGTGATTCCCAGGTCAGGTACTCTTTTATAAGGGAAACTTGCTTTGTGACCCAAAGATGCCTGCACCCACACTGCTGGGGATCTGAGAACTCTATGTGATGGGACTGCAAGATCTCCCATTCCATCCAAGGGCTGTCACTCAGTGGCCACATAGGGGAGTGTGCTGTATTGAGAAGCAGAAGGCACTGCCGGTGAGCCCTGGAGACCTGACATTCGGTCCTGTTCCTAAGGTTGCTAATACTTTTCTGTTCCTGGTTATTTGAAGGCTCAGGCTCTCAGCCTTAGGACCATGTAATTTTTCACATGTGTACCAGCTTTCTAACTCCTAACCAAGATCAATAATAATAGCAACAACAATGGCCCAGACTCATTAAGCACTACTAAAAATCCTAGGCATTGTTTTGAGTGCCTTTTCATGAATAAGTAAATTTAATCCTCATACTCCCTACAAAGTTGAAAGTGATTAGGGGAGATCACAGACTTTGGCCTGGAAGGCCTGTGAGATGAAGGGAACAGAACATGTCTGTGTGCAGTCCTATGGCTTCGGGTAATGGCTGTCCTCAAACATGACCCTCCGATCAGCACTGAGCATGGACTCTTGAAGCCAGGGTTGGGCCACTGAGGCCTCAGGGAAGAATTATCCTTATCAGGACTGTATGGAGAAGTGGAGAGGTTCCAAGGGCAGTCATGCATGTCACCAAGGAGGCCTTGCACCTGAATTCACTCACTTATATGTTTTTATACCAGGCTTTATGGGATTAAAGGTAAAGCTAGAAGAGAGCAAAGGGAACATATTTTTAAAAATGAATATATCATAATTTGGAAAGAGTGTTTTTGTAGCCTGAACACATTTTTATAAGAACATAGACTGAGGTGTGCGTAATTCTGCACAGTGGGTTTCCTGGGCTCCCTGACAATTTTCCAGAAGAGGTAACATTTGATGTTACCCCTGAAAGATCCTTTATACTCTGGATCCTATATTCATAGGCTAATTTCTGACAGTTTTCTCTTAGAGCTGTTTTTTCCCCCCATTGTTCCTACTTTAGGCAAGGACCACGTCCTCTCATATCTGTCTCCAGAACTCCAGCCCATCTTGCTATTGTCCTGGCCCTCCTAAAATGTCATATGTTGTGTCCCTTTTCTGTGTCATTCCCCACTGTAGGTCTTTTTTGCTTTCAGTTCCCCTCACTTGCATTTCAGGCCCTCTAGCTGTTGGTGAGATTTATATCTTATTCATCCTGGCTGGACAAGGCTGTGCCTCATAGATATTGAACTTATTTCTACTGTTTGCCTTTTGCTTATGTTGTCTGTCATATCTTGTTCTATTCACATCATATCACCGTTTAGGTCCCTTCTGAACTGTTACTTCTTCATGATGCATCATTTGCTTATTCTAGCTGATAATAGCCACCTATGGTAATTTATTTTTATGCTGGGAAATTTGGCATTTTCTATGTAAGAGGATCATGAAATTTAGCTCATACTACAACATGGATAGGAAGATAAGATAAAATGTTCAAATTTGCTTATACAAAAATTGTGTTTCTCCTGAGTCCCTACTCACTGGTTATCTAGGGGAATATATCTAATCCAAATTAGTTTGGTCCAATCCCATTATATAAATCATCTCTTAGGAAATGGTTTCTCTTGCATAAAAATATTCAGTTTATCAGATAGTCTCAACTTCTCTCCCTGAGTCGTCCATACAAGTTGATGTATTCTCATGGCTTTAGGAAGGAAGGGAGACCTCTGTCTTTAGAATGGTCCTTGAATGGGTGCTGTTTGTTGTCTGCTGTATCTCATCCCCTCTCCACCTCCCTCTCCATCTTCCCTTCCCCCCATCTCTTCCCCTTCCCCTCCTTATCTTCCTCCTTCATCTCTCTCCTCTTCCTTCTTTTCCATTTCTGTGCCTCCCAGGTCGGCTACTCCTTCCTGACTGAGTCAAGTCTTCCTGATTAGGATCTGTTCTCTCCTTATCAGATTGATTCTTTCCTTATCAACTCTATTTATTCAATTTTAAATTTAATTCTTGGAAAACAATTTTATTTCTTTCATTGCAAAGTCCTGCTCTAAGTCTGCAAAACAGCAATAGATAACCTACTGTTTCAGTGAATTCCATGTACATAGATTCTACATCTCCAATAAGATAACAAGCTCACTAGGTAGCTTATGGATGATATTCTTCTTTTGTGTTCCTCACAGTATGTCACCTGGGCAAAGCCCATAAAGTATATTTAATAAATAAGTGTTTGTCTTGAACTTAACTGATGTGAAGAAACACGTCTCGGAGAGAGGAAAGCAGAAGGATGTTTGGCATCCAAGCTTCCCAAACATCAACTAAACTTTATATACAAGGATCCCTGGATTGTCTCGAGCCAGGGCATGGGACCCAGCTGAAGCAGACTAGACAGGCTTAGTGTTGACACTGGAAGAGCACCATGTGAATGAAAGCATTTATATAAGTAATCAGTGTCCCCCAGAATGACTAGAAAGCAGTATCATGGAATGGAATGCTCATTACTCTGGGACTCAGTCTTGGCTCTGTCATATTCTAGTTGTCTGTGTTTGGGCTAGTGACTGAAGACCTTCTAGATCTGTTTTCTCCCTTTATGAAAACGAGGCTAATGATAGTCCTGACCTACCTCATGTGAAGGGTGGTGTTGACGAGAGAATGTCAGTGATATTTCCTGGTAAACAAGAAAACACTGTCCAGATATATGGCTGTCTTAATCAGGGGTCATCATTTGTAAGGAATAGAAGCCCACTCAGATTAGCTTAAAGAAATGGAATTCACTGAATGGGTGGGTGGATATTTAGTGGAATTTAGGCAGAAGCACATCTTGAGGACCCAGGAATCAGAAAGTGAAGCCCGGGTTACTTATTCCTTCAATTGAAACCCATGGTTTGTGATCTGACCTTCTTTCATGTCTAATTATTTCTTTTTTGCTGTGGGAACTGGCTCACTTTGCTTCAACATGCATCACATAAAACTAGCCCAGAGTAATGTGAGTTCTCAGCTTCAGCTCTTCTGTTCAATTCCAAATTCCTGGGAAAGGTTGACCTGGCATGGACTAGTTGTTTACCTCTGACAGTCAGCCTTGGCAAAGGAGGCTGGGTCACACAGACCAACCTGGCCACCCCTTCAGCAAGGGCTCAGCTTCGGCTGGCTTCCTAGCTGCTTTCTGTTAATTAGCTGATTTTATAAAGCTTCATTGATTTGGGGGGTTTAAGACATTCAGGAGTCAGCTAGCACTTGCAGTTCCTGGAGCACGCTTAGGATGCTAAGTGGGCCTGATGCAAGGGAAGTTATTTTTACCTTGCTCTCTTAAATTCTCTGGTTTGTATTTCAGAGTCAGATACAGAGAAAGTAGGCCATGGTTGAGGAAAGAGGAGTTGAGATAATTTTATTACTGATGATCTTCTCTGTGGCTAGATGGAAGACAAAGCCCTTATTCCAAGAGAAAAATGTCATCCAGTCTTAATCTTCTTCAACTTGATTCTTTCATATGTGTGACCTTGGTTAAGGGTTAATCTTGCTAAAACAAAGAAAAATGTGGACACAGTATAAGATTTTAGATTGATTCACAACAAAGTAATACAACTAATTCCAAGGGAATGTTTATTAATTATATTTTATGTATTCCTTCAGTTCAGTTTAGTTGCTCAGTCGTGTCTGACTCTTTGCGACCCCATGAATCGCAGCACACCAGGCCTCCCTGTCCATCACCAACTCCCGTAGTTTACTCAAACTCATGTCCATCGAGTTGGTGATGCCATCCATACCTATATTCAAAAAAGCTTCCCTGATAGCTCAGTTGGTATAGAATCTGCCTGCAATGCAGGAGACCCTGGTTTGATCCCTGGGTTGGGAAGATCCCCTGGAGGAGGAAAAAGCTACCCAATCCAATATTCTTGCATGGAGAGTTCCATGGACAATACTATATTCAAAAAGGAGTTGAGGCATTTTATAAAGGTCCAAAGCATAAGCACAGTAAAATACAAAAATCAAGTAGTGAAAAGGGGATAAATAGAAGAAATTATATTTTAAAATTCTGACTGATAATCTGTTAATAACTATTTGCAGAAAAATAAAGTTAGAGTTCTACCTTACCCCATAGATCAAAATAAATTCCAAATGCAATAAAGAGTTAAACATAATTGTTAAACTATAAAGAACTAGAAAAATACATTTAAGTGTTTATCATTTTTCATGGCAGGGTGGGAAAAGCATATCTCATTAGTAAAGAAAGAAACCTTGAAAGGAAATATGAATATGGCTACATAAAAATTTAAAACTTCTTGACTTCACAAAGCACCAGAAACAAAATTAAATGAGAAAAGTATTTTCAATACAAACAACAAAGAGTTAATAAATTCACTCTGAAATTTAATAGCTTTATCTGTTAAAATAATAAAAACACAAACATTCCATAGATAAATGAAGGACAAAAACCAAATTTTTGAAGAATTAATGCAAGAAGCAAATATACACGAAAAGATACTAAACCTAAATAATGAAAATAAATGCAAATTAAAACGTTGAAATTTTTTAAAAATTGAAATTCTATTTAACACTTATGATTAGAAAAAATTTTGGAAAATTATATCCAAACCGAGAAGAGATACTGAGAAAAGGGAACTTATGTATCCTGATGATAATAAGAAGACCTTTCTGGAGGGCAATGAGGCAATATTTTGAAATGCTCATGAAACATACCCTTTTTCTCAGAAATTATATTTCCAGAAGTTTGCCCTTGGGAAATAATAAAGTTTGGTCAAAGATTTATGTATAAGAATCTTTGTTATTTATTCTTTTTTTGAATAGAAACTATTCCCAGAGTTTTTACAATGAACATTTATTTCTTTTGCAATATGAAAAAAAAAATATTACCGCTCTGAATCTATTTTCTTTAAACAGTGAATTCATTCCCATTAATTGGGAAGTCTGTGCTCAGTTTTGAAGAATAAAGTAACGTTTTGGTCATTCAGCATCTTGCTTTGGAAATGTCTGATGAGATCGGTTAGTAATTAAATAAGATCCTTGAGTCATCAAAACTTGTACAAACTCTTTTTACCATTAGTATGAGAGCTCCTTGGGGCTTCCCTGATAGCTCAGTTGGTAAAGAATCTGCCTGCAATGCAGGAGACCCCAGTTCTATTCCTGGGTCAGGAAGATCTGCTGGAGAAGAGAGTTTGATCCCTGGGTTGGGAAGATCCCCTGGAGAAGGGAGAGGCTACTCACTCCAGCATTCTGGCCTAGAGAAGTCCATGGACTAGGGCTTCAAACAGTCGGCCGTGACTTTCACATGAGAGCTCCTTGGGGCTGTTTATTTGCTTTCTGTTGTAGACAAGATTTGAAAAGGCGATGTTGTCTCTTTCCATTCTAGAGCCAGTCAAAGGCAGGCGCTGGGTACCAGTAAAGTGATGGCTGGGGGCCTGAGAGCAAGAGAGGAAAGGCTGTGAACTAGACGACAAAAACAGTGAAACAAACCAAGTTCCCACATTAGTGCAGCAGTTTGGGGCCAGTTAAAGTAATGGCTAATAATCATTTACGTTGAAATGGCTCCTGAAGGCATGGATGATGATTAATATTTCCTATGGAAGACCTTAGGTCAACCTTAGGAAAACTCCAAAAACATTCCGTTTCCCTTGTTTCAAAAACAAAGAGGTTATGTAATATGTTTGAAAATTTATATTATATTCAGTATGCTTAAAATAGAGCAGAATTTGGCATTCACATAGGGTAAGCTTTAATTATCTGAAAAAAACTACCTGAGTGGAAAAATAATCAGAATAAATTAGGTGATTCCCTCCGTGATCAGAAAATTCCACAGTAGAATTCCACACTGAAGATTCTGAAGTTTAAAAAAAAAAAAAACGAAGGAATGAAGTGACTTCTGGAGAGAAGGAGGTGGGGGTCTGCTCTATATGCTCTCATGGGACTCTTGCTCACCTGTGCTGGTCCAGCTCACCTCGTGATGTGCCTGTGGCCCTTTTTCTCTGACTTAGGACTGCCCTCCAGATGCAGAGGACTTCCGAGCCCAGCAGTGTTCAGCCTACAATGATGTTCAGTACCAGGGACGTTATTATGAATGGCTTCCACAGTACAACGACCCTGCTGCCCCCTGTGCGCTCAGGTGTCAGGCCCGGGGACAAAACTTGGTGGTGGAGCTGGCACCCAAAGTCCTAGATGGGACTCGGTGCACCGCTGACTCCTTGGACATGTGCATCAGTGGCATCTGCCAGGTAAGCCACACCTGCTGCCCGGGCCCCTGTCTCCAGCCTGTGCTGCAACCACTATCAGTAAAGATAACCTTTCTCTTCTGTACTTCGGTTCATGCACACGAAATATTGCCTTTGAGGATTTTAATGTAAAACGTATTTTAAGGAGCGTTTTTCACCTGTAGATTATATTTTACTTATTCAAAATAGTGTAAATGTTGCCCACATAGAGTCAAAAGACTATAATATATGACTTGTAGATTTTTCTAGATCAGTGGTTCTCCAACTTGAAAGTATATCAGAATTACCTGAGGGTCTTGTTAAAGTGTTCTGAACCCCAATTCCAGAGCTTCTAACCCAAAAGGTCTAGGGTTTGACCTCAAAATTTGCTTTCTAACAAGTTCCCAGGAGGTGCTGATACTGCTAGCCCAGAGACACCACTTTGAGAACTACTGATTTATTGGTATTGATAGGTTCTCTGAATTTTCTTGTTAAAAGTAATTCATTGTTTGAGGCCTGTGGGAGCAGTGACTTATTTACTAAGTAATTAGCATGAGTGTACTCCAGCAGACTTTTTAAAGTGATCTTTGCAGAGTTGTGATGAATGTGACTGAGGTATAACCCCCTATGGCTTGCAATAGGGGTGAGGACTCAGGGGACTATGACAGGTTGCTGAGACAGTGTGGGGATTGTTGGGAAGGGATAGAATTCTACTTCATTCCTTTGATCACTGGAAAAAATTATAAACATAGGGAATGCTTACTATTCCATCTACCCTATTATGTGCATAACAAAAACAGCAGTAACAGTGGCAAATGACCCTAACCATCTACTAAGTGTCAGACCCTTCCAGGTATCTCTGACTTCTTATGCTTGGAGGAACCGTGGTCTTGCTTATCAGATGAGCTTCTCCTTCCTATATCCCTCCATCTGGAAAACAATCTCCAGTTGCTCACCACAACACCTTGGAGTCATTCTTAAAAAAATTTTGTAAACAGTTGTTTACAGTGTTGTGTTACTCTCTAGATGGTAGGTTCTCATTAGTTATCTATTTTATACATAGTAGTGTATATGTGTCAGTATCAATCTCCCAGTCCATCCCACCCCCTTTTCCCCACTTGGTGTCCGTGCATTTGTTCTCTACATCTTTGTCTCTATTTCTGTTTTGCAGATAGGTTCATCTGTACCTTTTTAAAAAAAATCATTCTTGAGTCTTCTCTTTCAATCTACACATGTAATCCATTGCTGAGTCAATTCTACCTTCAGACAACATAGTTGGATCTTGTTTTTTGAGCTACCGTGACATTCTTTATCTTTTTAACTTGTATATTTCAACTCACTGCCATACCCCAGTACTCCCACAGTGTTTGTCCCCATCAAAAGTACTTAGCTAAAAACTGGTGGAATAAATGAGTCTTATCTACTTGCAGATGCAAAAGGTTGTTCATATCTCTTGGTCTCTTTTATTTCTCTTTCAGCCTCCTATCTTGAATTTTCTAGTTCAAGTTTGATGTCCATTCTGGGAGATTCCACAAATTCCTCCAATACACCATGGGAATTCCTCCAGTTCTCACCCCTTCTCAAATGAACTAGTATTGTTCTTCCCAGATCTACTAGTTATTCAAACTGCATCTATTCATTTCTGTTTATGACACCATAATTCTCAGTGTCACCTTCCTGAATTCACGTTGTGGTCACTAAGTGTATTTGCTTATTACATGTCCTCTATCCTGATACTTCTATCAAATTTCTCACATTTCACTTTTTTTCCCTCTCTTCTTTCACCGTTTTACTCCAAAACTAGACTAGCCAATCTCCTTTGGTGGCCTAACCATCGCTCTTCCTTTCTCTTCTACTCTTAAACCATCTTATTTGATGTTTACTGTTGACTAATCTTCCCAAAGGTCAGAGTTTATGACTTTATTCTTTTATTATATATGCTGTCAATGATTTCCTTTTATAACCACCAGTTAACTTTTGGGCTCTTCCATGAAATAATAATAATAGCTATTTTTGTTCAGTGGAATTATGCTTTTTTGTTTTACACGTTTTTGACGATGAATTGTTATGAAAAACAATTTAATCTGGGCTAAAGAGGAGCAATGCAATCCAGATAATGTTTGGACACTGAGGCTTTGAAGACTTGAGTAGAAGTTACATAAACAAAAGATGAGGAAGAGAATCCCAGGCAGAATAATAGAGTTTGTAAAGAGATGTGACAGTAGGTGTGTTTAAGCATCTTCGACTCATTCTGTTTGAGGTGAAAAAATACCTGTGGGACAATGCTAGAAGTTGAGACTGCAGATGTAGGTGGAAACCAATCATGAACTAATTCTGAAAGTTGTGAGAGGAGCCAGTGAAGAATTTTTTAAGAAATAGCTCGGTTGGGATTGTCTCTAGGAAGGTCAGTCAAGTGGCAATGTGGCAGATTGTCTGGGGAAGATGGGGTCAAAGCAGATAATAGGTTAAGTTGGGATAACAAGAGAACTTCACAGGTGGCTCAGTGGTAAAGAATCCACCTACCAGTGGAGGAGACCCAGGTTTGATCCCTGGGTCAGGAAGATCGCCTGGAGTAGGAAATGGCAACCCACTTCAGTATTCTTGCCTGTGAAATGCCATGGACAGAGGAGCCTGGCAGGCTACAGTCCATGGGGTCACAACCAGTTGGACACGACTGAGTGACTGAGCAGGTGCACTGGATAAAGGTGGTTTTCAATGCTGAATTAGTCCCTCTAGAATGTGTACTTCCTGGGACTTCCCTGGAGGTTCAGTAGTTAAGACTGCATGCTTCCAATGCAGAGGGCAGGGTGCAGGTTTGATCCTTGGTTGGGGAACTAGGATCAGATGGAAAAAAAATCAAAGTAGAATGTGTGCTTCCTATCATGTTTTTGTGAGTCTGATGGGCAAGCGGATTTTTTAGGCAGGTGATAGCTTGCTGAAAGCTGAGTGCTCTTCTGGTAAGGCTGTCCAGGTCAAAAGAATTGTATGCACTTCTTCAGAAGTGACTCACATGCTTCTCAGTTGAATTCAGTATCTTTCCTTCCACGGGATAATGTTCATATAAATTCCCTTTTCTGGACTGTGTGGCTATGGCTGTTCAGTTATCGGGATGGGAGAAATTAAACTGTGTGGTTCTCTCTGATTACTTTGGAATCAGTGAACTGAGCCCTGATGTTTACTTGGCAGAGACTGCAAATAATTTTTGCAAGTGTGTTTAGAGTTTGCTTATTTACATGACTGTGTCACCGTGCTCCTAAGAACAACCTACCGTGGGTCTGAGCACAGCATCTAGCATTAGACAACTATACTCACTCAATGAAATTTGCTTTTGCTTTGGGGGCCTGATTTTTACCAGAAATAGGACCTGTTTGGAGCCAGATCTGGAGAACAAGTCCAATGTATCTTTCAGGTTTATTGAATTCCTTGACAAGTGAGTAAATGAAGAAATCACTCTGTGTTTCTAGTAAAAACAATAGCATCCAACACATACTGGATGCTTATTCGGGGTCAGGCACTGTCTAAGCCCTTGACTGTGTTCGCTCATCAGACACTCTGAAGCCGGGATAGTTATTATCCTCAGTCTGTTCATAAGAAAACTGGAATTTGAAGAGGCTAAGTGATTTGCCCCGATGATACAGCTAGGAAATGGTAGAGCTGAAATTTGAACCCAAGAAACTGAATTCCAAAATCTGGTTTTTTAACCTTTGTGCTATATTGATGATATTTTTACTTTTTGTGTTACTGAAAGTGTCACTGCAGTTTGGAAATGAGATGCTATTCGAGCAGACGACAGTCAGCACAATAGGTGAGTGATGCTTAGACAGTTTAGGATAGAGGTTGAAACTCAAATATCTACACCCCACTCAGGGAGGAAGACTGCTCAGGTGTAGTCATAGTGAGTAATGAGAGCTATCATGAGCTGGAGAATATATACCTGCTTGTTGATGTGCTCAAGGGATCAACCATATATAAACATCAGTTTTTGTCAACAGGAGCCAGAAATCTAGATTTTAATGTGAAGTGTTCAATTTCAAGCAACACCATGATGTTAATGACATTGCTCTATCCATCAATAGTTAAGTAGAACTCCAATATAATAGAGGCTAGGTTTTCCTTCAGTAATAAAAACCCCCCAAAAGCTCCATGGCTTAAAACAAAGATTACTTTTAATCATGCTACTTGGCCAATGTGGGTGAGCAGGGGTCTCTGCCCTTGAATGTCTCAGAGACCCAGACTGAAGGAGCCTTTATTTGCACACACGTTTTGCATAATAACTATAGTAGTGAGGAGGGGAACGTGTGACTCATGCGCTGACCCTTGAAGCTTCTAACCAAAGAGATGCAGACACTTAGACTCATATTTTGTTGGCCAAAGACAATCAATGACCACACTTATTTCTAAGGGGGTGGGGAAGTGCAGTCCTCCATGGGCTTAAGGGAGAAACTAATTATTTATGAATATTCCTAATGACTGCCATAGCTCCATATACTCTGATTTTTCAGGCAGAAATGTTAGAATTTTTTATAATGTAGAATTCAATTTTCAGAGATCTCAAACAGAAGTTGACTCCAAAAATTATTTGCTTCTTGAAGGATTAAATTTGACTGATCTGGGAAATTCATACTTTGTTCCATCTGGAGTAAAGACCCTTATTTAAACACTGACTTCTATGAACAGTGTAAGAAATCATAGGCTGGAACTATGAAATAATCCTTCGCTGAAGTGACGATTTATATATGAGTATTTGTTGCCCAAAGCACTGCTCATATATCTTAAATTTTTACTTATATTATCCCCTGTGTTGTGTAACGTGTCTCATCAACTGCACTGTAAAATAGGAATCCATCTTATTAATTTAGACTGTAATGCCTGGCTCTATACAAATTGGCTATGTGGATGTTAATACATTTTATTGACATGTTTATCAATTAGCGATTTTTAAATCATTACAGCTAGAGATCTTGACTTCAGGAGAAGTTACTGAACTTGAAAAAGGTTCAGGAAATTCTTTAAAAGTTGCTCATTGTTGATTATGATGAGATCTGAGAGCCAGTATTCAGTAGTCCCTCAATTTCAAGGGCAGTTTTGGCTTATCTCCTATGATTCACAAGGCAATCAGATCTTTTTAGATATTATTTTTCTGTGATGTTTTCACATGCTTTTTTTGGCTGCAGGATTTGGATGAACTGTAACTTTAAAAATTATGAAATAAATATCAGTGCTCAGGGAGGTATTTGATTGCGCAAGATCTTGCAAGGCTCTAAACACCCTTCAAAACAAGCCCATCCTAGCTCCTAAACCCACACCCTTCCTGAATGACCAGATAAAGAGCGATTCTCATTCTCATGAAATGCAAAGTGCTCTGGGACCCACATATGTGAGGACAGAGCTTGGCCCAGGAACAGTATTTCTATAATTTAATGGTAGAATTACTCCCCTTGGAGAAAGTTGCTTGAACACAAGTTACTCATTGATTAAATCTTAACCATGCAAGTATGGTTCCAAAATCAATCACTCTTAAGTTATTCCACATGTACTTAGTAAATATTAATATAATAGCCTGTGTAACTGGGTTTGTTGTTTTCCATTTGCTGATACTAAAGGTGAGGAAGATAGAACATAGTGATAAGATTCTGGTGTCAGAGGACCTGGATATTCAAACAATATACTAGTTGTGTAATGTTGGAAAGTCATGTAACCTCAGAAACAGTCAGATGCCTAATTTGTAAAATAGAGATAAAAGGTATCAAACGGTGGCCATGAAAATTAAATGAAATAATGTGTATTACATGCTTGACATAACACCAGCATTCAATAAAAATCAACTATTATTATTACTGTTTCACTATTATCTTTATAAAAAATCATATAATCAGAATGAAAGGGTCTCAGAGGATTCAGCTGCTCATCAAATAATTTAATCCTCTCTCCAGTTTTCCTGTCCCAAATTCTCCTACCTAGCCTGTGATTGAATATTTATTGTTGGATAACTCTGACTCTAAAAACATTCTCATATTAAACTAAATTACACCTAAACCTGTAGCTTTCACCATTTGAAAATACACAGAACAAATGTAAAGCCTTTCTTCACGACATCCCTCTGTGAATTTGAAAATATCTCTAATCATAGGCCTTTCCTCAAACTTCCTTGGAACTTTTCCCATCTCTCCTTGAAACTTTCATTTGATCTTGTTCCTTCCCTTCAGCAGCAGCACTTTGAAGAGAATAGTCGATAGATGTGGTTTCGACTTCCTTCAGTTTTATATTCCCGTCAACACCTTGGATACAGACTCTGATCCAGCAGTTCCCCCAAGCCGAAGTGTAGGGGCTCAACTCGGGAGTCTAGGCAAAATGAAAAACAGAGAGGTGATTCAAGGGGCTCTCTTTTGTTGAGCCCTTCGAGTATTCTAATTACTGTACTAGGAGTTTTACATGTATTTTCTCATTTCATTCCTAGTATAGACCCTCTGTGAAGTATGTGTAAGTGTCCCTATTTTACTGTTGAGGAAAATGAGTCTCCTAGAGTAGTTCGCATTGTTGTACATCCTGCATCTTGAAAGGGGTGGTAGGACCGGGTAGTTGTTGTAATCAGGCTGTTTGCCTCCAAGATCTCTGCACTTAACCACCAGGCATATAAATACAAATAACACTCAAAGTGTGCAGAGTTAGAAATAAACCAGCTCATTAGTTAATGTTAATATTACTAGGTGTATGTCATGTAAAAGTTATATTTATAAAATAAAAAGAAATATAAGATGTAGCCCTTTATCCCATATAAGGAAGCTCACAGTTCAGCAGATGCACACACACTACTCACAAAAGCTCCCCTCATAGCTCAGTGGGTAAAGAATCCACCTGCGATGCAAGTGACCCTGGTTCAATTCCTGGGTTGGGAAGATCCCCTGGAGAAGGGAAAGGCTACCCACTCTAGTATTCTGGCCTGGAGAATTGCATGGACTAATAAGTCCATGGGATCTCAAAGAGTTGGACACAACTGAGTGACTTTCACTTCACTTCTCTTCACTTACAAAAAGTAATAATTCACAAGAGACTGAAGGATGTCAGTATAAGCATATTCTGAGATATCGCTCTTGTTAATTCCTTATATTTTAAAAATTATTTATAAAAGTTTTTATAAGAATTATATACACACATATATACATATATAAGTAAAAATATGTAGGTATAGATATAGATAATGATACAGAAGGATATACAAAGATCCAGATACAGGATATTGAGAGAGATGGATTTATCAATATGAATAAGATATAGGTATGTGTGTTAGTCGCTTAGTTGTGTCTGACTCTTTGTGACCCCATGGACTGTAGCCCACCAGGCTCCTCTGTCCATGGAATTCTCCAGGAAAGAATCTTGGAGTAGGTTGCCATTCTCTTCTCCAGGGGATCTTTCCAACCCAGGGATTGAACCCGGGTCTCCTGCATTGTAGGCAGATTCTTTATGATCTGAAGACCAGTGATGTAGGTATAGATTGAGATTAAAAATAGAAAAAAATTAAACTATGGACCAGAAGGATATATATCAACCTCAAAATAGTGGTCATCTGGGGGAAGAAATGAGAGAACAGGACTAGGGTAGGGATAGAACGAGAGGGAAGGGGTTGGGGGAGGAGGAGGGAGGAAGTATTTGTAATGTTCCTTTCATTTTATGTACATAAAATAGCTGAATAGAAGTATAAATAAAAAACTAAGGATGAGAGTGTCAAAGGGCAGCCTCCATTCATCTTTAATTCTTTGGTCTTTGGATAAGAATTTTATATATAAATGACATGGTGCTGTAAAGCTTTATATATTATTATTATATTTAAGATTTTTTTTTTGATTTGACCATTTTCAAATTCTTTATTGAATTTGTTATAATATTGCTTCTGTTTTATGTTTTGGGATTTTTTGGTTTTTTTTTTTCTTTTTTTTTTTTTGGGCTATGAGGCATGTGGGATCTTAGCTCCCTAACCAGGAATCAAACTCACACGTCCTGGGCCACTGGGAGGCGAATCCAGAGGTCCTAACCTCAGGACCCCCAGGGAAGTCCCTTTATTTATTATTACATATTTTAAAATCTGTGTTCTCATCAAAGAGAGCCAACTCATACACTTAAGAAGGATAACACCATCGGTATGATTTCTGAAATACATAAGGTCTGATATGCCCATATCTCTACCCACTCCTGACCGTGTCTTCTGTCTGCAGGCAGTGGGCTGCGACCGGCAACTGGGGAGCAACGCCAAGGAGGACAACTGTGGTGTCTGTGCTGGTGACGGCGCCACCTGCAGGCTGGTGCGGGGACAGTCAAAGTCACACGTGTCTCCTGAAAAAAGTAGGTTTTAAACCCAACACATTACCATACAACAGCATGTGCTTTAGACCGTCTGAAAGTAATATAACATTTTCCCATTGCTGAGGTTTTTAGGTAGTAAGAACTTTTGACTGGTGTTCTAAAAGACACATTTCTCCCCAAAAGTGTAGTCGATCAAATTTTTATTCCCATTACCTCTTCTTAGATTTCCTGTTTCTTTGAACTTTTGCCAATACAGAGTACAACTTTTTTTTTTTAATTTGCTGATTTTTTTAAGGTAAACTAGGAGTCATTATTTCTTTTGCCCCCTTTTGATTGCTAACAAAGGTAGAAAATATCCTGTATTTATTGAAATATTGTCCTGCATTTATTGCCCATTTATACTTTTTTATCTTTCAATTAGTTGCTGAAGTCATTTACTTTTTTCCCCTATTTGGATGGTGATCTTTTCCTCACTTTTATCATGAATATATACTATTTGTTGTAACTGGTTTTAATATTCTCAGTTTGTCATTTGACTGTCAGTATTGTTTGTGTTTGTAGAATCAGTAGTTTCTAAATTATAGATACACAGGATTCTCCACCTTTTAAGTAATCAATTACCAAAAGTAAGTCATTAAAATTAGTATTAGTTAGTCATTAATGACTAAATTAGTCATTAAAAAAGTATTACTTTTGGTAATACCTGATTAATTTTTTTTAAATTAATGATCAGTCAACTTTTTCTGTAAAGGAGTAGAGAGGAAATATTTAAGGGCTTTTTAGCCTCTATAGTTTCTGTCTTAGCTACGCAGCACTGCTGCTGCAGGTAAAAAGCAGCCACAGGCAACCAGTGAACCAACGGAAAGAGCTATGTTCCAATAAAGTTTTATTTACAAAACTAACCTGCAGGCTAAATTTGACCCTCAGGGTGTAGTTTGCCTACCCCCTGCCTTAAAGAGAAAAAAAAAATTATACATGTATGCCTTCTGCCAGTGCTTTTTTGTATGTGTGTTCCTACTTTAAAATCTTATTTCTTTGAGTTTATTTGGATTTAACTTATGAAACAGAAAGTGAAAGTGAAAGTCGCTCAGTCCTGTTTGACTCTTGCAACCCCATGGACTGTAGCCCATGGGATTCTCCAGGCCAGAATACTGGAGATGGTAGCTGTTCCCTTCTCCAGGGGATCTTCCTGAACCAGGAATCAAACCAGGGTCTCCTGCATTGCAGAGGGTTTCTTTACCAACTGAGCTATCAGGGAAGCCAAAAGTTTATTTATTTTTTTTGGCCACACTGGTCATAGATCCCCACCAGGGACTGAACCTGTGCCCCTTGCATTGGGAGCACAGAGTCCTAACCACTGGACTGCTAGGGAAGTCTATGAAATGGGGATTTTACTTATTCTCCCAAAATGGGGAGAACCCTAGAGGAGGAGTGGAGGGTGGAGAGGGTTTTCCAGGCAAAGGAAACACAAAGTTCATGGCGTGACATTCGAGTGAAGCCTGGACTTCCTTGAGTAACCTAGGATTGCACATTGGTTAGGGTGGAAGGAAAGATACAGTGGCATTCAGAAGGAATCATAAAGGCCTTCATTGTTGCGAGTCATGTTTCAGGTTAACTGAAGTCATTACAGCAATTTAGGCAGTGGAGGGACTTGATTAGATTTGCATTTTAATGAAGTGATTCTGGCAACATGTGGAGCTGAGCCTGGAAGCAAGGAGTCCAACTAGGATGCCGCATTTAAATACTCAAGGGTGTTTGAAATAATGATGTCTTCGTCGGGGTTGTAGTGAGGTGGGAGAGAGAGAGGAAGGAGCAGAGAGGGCAGAGAGTTTTAGGAGAGAGAGTCAGCAGAGTTTGCTAATTCACTGAGTGAAAACTGTAAGAAAGAGGAAGCTAGAATGATGCAGATTTCCTAGCCCGAGCAGCTGGGTGGATTTCTTTTCTGTCCATCTGGGGAAGGAATGCATGAAGAGGAGATGCATACCAAAAATAAGGGTTCACCTCCTTGGGTTTTCTTCTTTCCAGAAATTTGGCCCCGTAAGTAGTCAGTGCTTTGGTACTTTTCTGATACCTTCAAACAGATGTTAATTATATTTTGTTTGGGGTGAAAGAGTTGATCTGAAATGTGACAGTCCATTGTTGTTAATGGTCTTTAGTTATGCATTTTTTAATACATATATTTTTTAAGGTAATTAACTTTTTATGGTTGCATCGGGTCTTAGTTGCAGCTCAGGGGACCTTCCATCTTCATTGTGACACACGGGATCTTTAGCTGTGGCATTGGAATTCTTAGTTGCAGCACGTGGCATCTAGTTCCCTGACCAGGGATCAAACCTGGGCCCCCTGCATTGGGAGCATGGAGTCTTAGCCACTGGACCACCAGGGAATTCCCTTTAGTTATAAATTAACTGAGTTTATCCAGAGTATATACAATATATTAGGAAGGCATGAGAATTTAGCCAGGGAAAAAGCTCAAACTTTTTCAAGTGAATTCAAGGGATTCAAGTGAAAAGATAATGAGAAGAGTAGGTAAACTCAGAAATTAGCAGAAGCAATATGGGAGCTGAAGGAATAAGTAATTCCAAAAAAGGAGGTAATAGTCGGCCATGTGAAATGCTGTTTCGAGGTCAACTGGAATAAAAGTCCAAAAATTTCTCATTGGCGATTTGAAGCCAAATCTGTGACCTTAGCAAGAGTGGTTTCAGTGAATTTCTGACTAAAACCAAAGCCTGATTGCAGTGGGTTTAGAAGTAAATAGAAGATGAGAGAATGAATGGAGGGAAGGATTTTCCCAGGACTAAAGGAGGGGGTACACAATCATACCATGTTAAGAACTGAGTAACTCTAGGTGCCCTTGGAGAACATGGTGAAAAATTAACTGTGTTTCCAATACAGTTTTTTTTTTCTTTTTACATTCTGTTCATTAGGAGGTAGAATCAGCTGCTTTAGAGTGAAGACTCTCAAGCAGATTCACCAATGGGGATAATAATTATGCTCAGCTCTTAAGGTCATTGTGAGGATCAAATTAAACTACGTATGAAAAAGTGTCTGACACGTAGTTAACATTGGGTGAAGGATAAAGGGAGATGACCCTACTCTCCAGCCATCCTTTTCTCCATTGAAAGCTATAATCTCTACATCACTTCCTTCTTTAGGATAAAGCATTAGCAAAGGGATTAACAGTAGAAAAACAATTTGAGTACAACAAAATATCCGTGCAAGCTTTGGGAATAATTGTGGCAGAAGGGCGCTTACTGACTTGAGAAATAGGTTTCATATTCTTTCAGTTGCAAAATGTACTATTGTCTGAACTGTCTGTTGTAGACAGTAAGCCTGAGTTGGTGTTTGGTGAGCACGGCGTCTGGTCCCATCACTTCATGGCAAATAGATAGGGAAACAATGGAAACAGTGTCAGACTATTTTTTGGGGCTCCAAAATCACTGCAGATGGTGACTGCAGCCATGAAATTAAAAGACGCTTACTCCTTGGAAGGAAAGTTATGACCAACCTAGACAGCATGTTAAAAAGCAGAGACATTACTTTGCCAACAAAGGTCCGTCTAGTCAAGGCTATGGTTTTTCCAGTGGTCATGTATGGATATGAGAGTTTGACTGTGAAGAAAGCTGAGCGCCGAAAAATTGATGCTTTTGAATCATGGTCTTTGGAAAAGACCCTTGAGAGTTCCTTGGACTGCAAGGAGATCCAACCAGTCCATCCCAAAGGAGATTAGTCCTGGGTATTCGTTGGAAGGACTGATGTTGGAGCTGAAACTCTAATACTTTGGCCACCTCATGCAAAGAGTTGACTCATTGGAAAAGACCCTGTTGCTGGGAGGGATTGGGGGCAGGAGGAGAAGGGGATAGCAGAGGATGAGATGGCTGGATGGCATCACCAATTCGATGGACATGAGTTTGAGTAAACTCCGGGAGTTGATGATGGACGGGGAAGCCTGGCGTGCTGCGATTCATGGGGTCACAAAGAGTTGGACACGTCTGAGCGGCTGAACTGAACTGAATTGAGCTAATATTATGATGCCAAGGAATTATAAAAAGATTTCAGACTCCCTAAAAAAATAAAAGTAAAACAGAATCACAAATATAGGAAACAAACTTCTGATTACCAAAGGGGAGAGGGAAGGGGGAGGGACAAACTAGGAGGATGGGATTAGCAGATACAAACTACTGTATAGAAAATAGATAAACAACAAGAATATACAGCATAGCATGGGGAATTGATTATACCCAATATCTTGTAATAACCTGTAATGGAATATAATCCACAAAAATACTGAATCACAGTGCTGTGCACCGGAAACTAACACAATATTGAAAATCAACTGTACTTCAATAAAAAAATGGGGGGACTGTCAGACACTTGAAGTGGGTAAGGAACTCTTCAAACACAGTAAGGAGGACGATTTCCAGAGGTTAGGACTCTGCACTTTGACTGCTGGGGCCCAGGTTCAATCTGGGTCCAGTGAGCTAAGCTCCCAGAAGCCCCATGCACGGTATCCTCCCCAGAGGATGGTAAAGAGGCAGAGGAGTAGCTGCAAGGGGCCTGGGTGAGACTGGGCACTGTGAATTCCTGGAGGTCCCATGCGCTTCTCCAAGGAGCTGGCTTTGAGGGATGTGTACCAGGGAGGGATGCATTCTATGGCAAATCACAGGAAACCCAACTTATAGATGCAGGAGTTTACATATCTCTTCTAAGCAGAAGTCTGGAGTAGGCAGTCAGGTTTGGGGAAGCTGTTTTACTGTGTTTTTGCGGAACCAGGCTCTTGTCTCTCTTTCATCAGCCTAGACTATAGCTTTCACCTGTGGTTGCTAAGTCACTGTTAAACATCTAGACAACACATCCAGCATGTCAGGTGATAAAGAAGAAGGTGGTGCAAAAGGCATTCTTTTGATAATGTTCCCTTTAGTCAGGGAGAGAAGTCCTCCCCAGGGAATTTTGCCTCATTGACCAGAACTGTGGCATGTGGGCTAGGAATTTCCTAGGAGCTAGGAAACCAAGTGTACCACATTGCATCCATTCTGTTA